TCCACCATGGCATGGCATTTTGAAAAACCCAGATGAACTTCAAAGACTTGCTAGTTATGCGAAAAACCCAAAGACCACATCGTGGTGAGAATACGACGTGGTGAACCGACTTCGAAAAAGTATAACTAGAATGTACATTTCTCAGAAAGCCTAACTTGTGTTGGGAGATTTAGTCAATTTTTGAAGGCCAAACATGTTATTAAGAAGCTTTAAAGTGCAGAGATTGATTAATAACTTGATTTTTGGCGATTTTGGGGTAATAGTTCTTATATTAGTTATCCCTCTTGTGTCTGATCATGGATTACAAGTTTAATTTCATTTTTACATGTTTGTTTGCTAAAGTTATGTGCTAAATACCCCAACTTTCGTTTAGACTAGATTAATTGCTTGATTATGTGTTGATTTTATGGTTTGAATTATGCTAAGTTAACTAATTGTTATGTTAGCTTGCTAAAGAACCTCTTTATGTTTATGATAACTATTTTTGTATTTATTGTTGAGTTTAATTAAAAGTTATGAACTATTTTTCTTAGTTGACTTGAGTCTTATAGTTTTATGATTAACAAAGTTGTAGGACTAGTGTTTGACCAAAAACCAACGGTTGAATAGAAAAGTGGGTAAGTAAATGCAGGAGCTAATATATGAGGACCAATCATATATTGAATTGAGATAATAACTTATTAGATCAATTACTATTACAAGTCTCGCATAACTCGAATCGAATACTAGTAAATTTGTTAGTTTATCCGCTTGATCACCGAATGAATGAACTTAATTGCTAAAGGATTAGATTAGTAAATAATAATTTGATCACATTAGGAATCGGTAATTAATAAAGCATTAATCCGTTGCACTTCCATAAAATCAATCATAGCAGCAAGTATATCAAATCTGAACGAAAGTCTCTCCATTATCTTGATTAAAATCATCTTTGCGTTTCCTGCTTTTTAGTTTTGTTTTGTGTTTCATTAATTGTTAATTAGTTTCTTTCTAAAGTTTTAATTTGATTGTTTAAGTTTCTAGACTTGCAAAACTAGTGAAAACCCCCTTTCTTTATTTAACTGTTATTTTAGTAGGTAATTTTAATTATTAATTTTGTTCCTTGTGTTCGATACCCGACTATTTGTGTTATTCTATCTTTGATTAGGTACATTGCCTAAATGTAGTAGCTAGTTAAATTGTTTAAACTAGTACATATTCAATACATCACTTCATTACCGACATCTTCTGTACATATCTTGATAAGGCGTTGACAACTTTATGCTACTTGATGTCAGAAGATTATAAGTATATGAGAAATATTCATTTGAACATTTTCTAGATATGTAACTTTTAAGTATTTCCATTATGTGTTCCTTGAATTACGTAGCATTTCAAAATAAAAGTCAAAATCTTACACTTTGGCTCTTTCAGAACAACTTTAAAAACTTAGCTTATAAATTTCATAAAAGATATTGTGCATTCGGAAATATATTTACAATGATCATGGCGATCATTGGCTCCCTATTAAAAATGAAGGTTAAATGTTCTGAGATGTTGATGCAATCATGTATTTAATTATCACGTCTATATCAACTCACTCTTGCATATTCCATACGCAAGAAGAAAAAAATAGTAGTTCTCATTGATCATAACCTCCAACTGGAACAACATTATCAGTAATTTGTATCACCATCTTTACCAATATCGTTGTTATTTTTAGAAAAAACATTGTCGCATATAGCAACATCATCATCACCAACGTATTTATCAGTTTCTGGATCAACATAATGAAAACTTTGATCCATAAATTGCTTTTCAGAAGTTTTTGGTTGTAACAGTGTTTCATATACAAAATATTTAGGAGGATATTGATAACCACCTTGAGAGATAAAGTACTTAATTGATTGTTGCTACATCTTCTACTAGAATTGTTCTCAACATATACGTACTTTTCTTCTTTTGCTACCAAATCCTTTTCCACTCGATCAATTGTCGGCATTGTATTGAACAGTTGGAGCCTCTTCGACAAGAGCCTTCTTTTCCAGATATAATGGTTGTTAATATCTTACGATTTTAAGATCCTACAAGCCAAAAACGATCGTGATCTCACTAGGATCTATCTGAATCAAGATTTATAGTGGGATCTTAGGATCCCGACTAGGATCTGAAGATCTTAACACGATCTGATATCACCTCTTTAGTTTTATGATATAGGCGAAATTCAAAAAGTTTCTATTCAACTTGAAATTGAACATTGCAAGTTGCAAGTTTCAAAATCCTCATATATCATCATTATTTCATCACTTCATCTCGAATTAGGTAGGTTACATTCATGATATCATATTTGTGATCTTAAGCCTTTAGTTTTAGATCATAATGATTTTGTTTCTTTTTATAATTAATATGTTTTCTTCCTAATTTTTACGATTTGTAACAATAAAAATTATGAGTCATTTTTAAAAAGTTAAAGTTGATTCCATATTGACATCTTAATCGACATCAAGTTATAATATATATTGCACACCTAAGACCTTACAAGAAATTCGAATACGAGTTTAATTTGGTAGGATTTTCCGATCCCGATACATTCTTACGATTACGATCTTGCAAAACATAAAATGATTTTAGGTAAGATCCCGATCTTGACAACCTTTTAAGATACAAATGTACAATTGTTAAAACTTAAGTTGAATAACCTTTTTTTCAAGTGTTTAGCATCACCTTCATCAACTATCTCTACTACAAACTTCATTGTAGGATGTTAGAAAGACATACTCATATTAGATCTATGTTCGAAACCTATTTTCAGTTTGACCAAATTTAATAAATCAAAGAAATTTTATATCTAACAAAATTTATATTTTAGATTTTAACAAAAAGCCTAACAAATATACATTCATCATCTTCCGACTCATGAACCACCGATATTAGCAACAATGAAATAGAGCCTAACAGTTATACATTTGGCATCTTTGGAAAATTTTAAGTCATGTTTTTTCTCAGAAAAACTATATCAGACATAGAAGATGTGTTGAAGTTTAGATAAAAAAAAATGGGTAGGATCCGTAAACAACAATTTTTGGTCATACACAACAATTTGTGCTTTATGGAGTTGTACAGTATAAATGTATAAAACACAAATTGTTATGTATGGCTAAAAACTGATGTGTACGAATCAGCACCTATAAAAAAATAGATCTTAAAAACATAGATCTTATAATATGACCATTAAAGTCATTGTATGGATGTCAGATTTGGCAATACCATATTACCATTATCTAACTTTCTTGTACATATGACAGCAAAATACAGTCTCTTTCATAAAATATAGTCTTTCCAATCACATCTACTAACGTATGAGATTTGAGGAATAACTTCTCAAATCTCACTACATTTTCATAGATGAGAACTGAGAAAACCCAATATCCTCGCAAATGGAATCAGAAAATTCTGCAGATAACATCTGCGAAATCCTAACTCGAAAGTGCCTTTGATTATTCATTTAAATAATAAACCTTTTCGTATATGACACGCCGTCATTTCACAGATGGCATCTAATTCTAATTTCATAGATGACATTTGCAAAATTCTTGGTTATTTTAGTGATTTTGATACATTTTTATTAAATTTTGGAAAAGGATTGATGAGATTAATTTGATTTGTCTTTTTCCAGATTTTTAATGAATCAAACTTAGGGTTACAACTAGAGGTGGCAATCGTGTCGTGTCGTGTCTGGTTCGTGTCGTGTCGAAACACTAAACGGGTTGAAAGTGCTTGACCCTAACCCGACCCATTTAATTAACGTGACGTGTCGTGTCAACCCGTTTATTTTCGTGTCGAGTTCGTGTCGGGTTTCGGGTTAGGGCTATACCTTGAAATATGTCGTGTCATGTGAGGTTAAAAGATTAAGCATGTTAAAAGAGTAGGAGTTGGGTAAGCAAAGAGGAAAAACTAATAGTTTGGAGGCAGAATAGATGAACTCATAGCAAGTTCTGATGACAAAATTAAAACAGTGAGAGTTGGGGAGGCGGATGAAAAGGTCGCGAGGATGTGAGAGTGGTGAAAAAGACTGGGTAGTTCTGATGACAAAAAAACTCAATTCAAATGTTTTCTTTTAACTATGGTTTTGGTTTTGTATCTTTTAGTTTATTTAAATAATTCAAAAAATTTGCATATAAATAAACGGGTCATTTTCGAGTCATATTCGAGTTGAAATTCTCAACCCTAACCTTACCCGTTTAATTTTTGTATCGTATCGTGTCAACCCGTTTATTTAAACGGGTTGAAATATCTTACCCAAACTCGTTTATTTCGCGTCGGGTTTTGTGTCGTGTCAATTTTTACCACCTCTAGTTACGACATCATATCCATTTAAATTAATCGAGCATAGGATTTTTAATATCGTGTGCAATATGTTACAATCCATTTCCGTTAAAGATATATAGCTGATCATTGCGATTGTGATATACCCTCATAAAGCTTAGGAATTTATGACACAATACAATCTGGTATTAAGAAACATTATGTATTAATTAGCTAGTATCACTTATATAATCAGCAACCATAAAATGACTTCATAAGCTCATATCAAGGAGCTCGAGAGGCAGCTTTGTGCATCCGTACGTATTACTACGACTGTACGACATGCAACGATGATCAAATGATTGTTAAGCTCTGGTGCCCTACTTACATGCATGGAGAAATATACATGTACTAGGTTCAAACGCTCTACATATCTCCAGCAACTCGGAAAAGTGAAACTTCGATTATAGAATGATCAAATTGTGGGAAACAGCAGAAGGCATATCCAATAGATCACACTGTAGCTGTGTATTTCTGAACTGGACGTCCACTATGTAGGGTCATGAGCTAGAGTGCTTTTATTTTATTGTTTATTTGCATATGGTTAGGCCACTGCTCCTGGAACCTCTAGTTACCCAATGCCTATATATAGGCAACCAATTTCAGAGAAATTGCAAGCAACTCACAGTTTTGGGATAGAATCACTTTCAATCACCATGGCTGTTCACAGAACTTTAAGTGTGGTTTTCTTGGTGCTATTAGGTGTGGGCATGAGTGTGGCAACTAGAGCTCTCTTGACTGCTGGAGGGGGTATTCCCTACGCTCATGGTGTTATAGAAGGAGGCGGAGGCGGTGGTGGTGGAGGGGGTAGTGGCGGTGGAGGGGGTGGTGGTTATGGGGCTGGAGGAGAACACGGAGCTGGATCTGGAGGTGGAGCTGGAGCTGGTGAAGGCGGTGGTGCAGGGTATGGCGGTGGCGCTGCTGGAGGTGGAGGCGGAGGTGGTGGGAGCGGAGGAGGTAGTGGAGGAGGAGGAGGAGCACATGGTGGCGGTTATGGTGGTGGAGAAGGAGCTGGAAGCGGTGGTGGATACGGTGGTGCTGGAGGAGCCGGTGGTGGAGGTGGACATGGTGGTGGTGGTGGTGGAGGAGGAGGATCCGGTGGTGGTGGTGCTGCTGGAGGAAGTGGATATGGTACTGGTGGTGGTGCTGGAGGAGGTGCTGGAGGATCACATGGTGGACACTCTGGAGGAGGAGGTGGTGGTGGTGGTTCAGGAGGAGGAGGTGGAGGCGGTGGTGGTGAGCATGGAGCAGCTGGATATGGTGGTGGTAGTGGGAGTGGTGAAGGCGCTGGTCATGGTGGCTATATGCCGTGAAAAAGTCCGTTCATAATGGACAATGGTTCCTTACACGTACATGCCTATGGATAATAAGATTTATAACAAGGCATTCGTGAGCGTATTGTTATTTTATGAAAAGTAGATGCATTAAAGCGCGGCATCAGTAACGTTTGTAATGTTATTCCAAAAATGTTGATGAATTTCAACTGTTTGTGTGTTTATTAATTCTAAATTATAACCTTATTACGTTTCTTGCATGAAAATCTACATTTATTATGCGTCATGCGTATGTACTGTCTATCTGGTTTCATGATTTATGAACTCTAAAAGGGTTCGACAAGGGTTCGACAGAACTTGTTTAAACAACATTTTTTTGTGATACTGTATTATCTGAATATATCACCAGCGTAATTAAGTGATACTACTGCCATCGAGTCCCAAAAGAGCACCTAATATTACATATTGTGAGACTTGATGTCCCACTGTGAACAACCATCTAACCCAGTTTTTTTTTTTTTTTAATTGGCAAATATATTAAATAAAAAAGGGGCAGCCTAGCAAGGGGCTAGGCAGCAACCCAACAAAAAAATGTACACGAAAAGAAACAAAATAGCCCTTTCAAATGCAAAAGAAAGGGCACACACTCCAATCAATCCAATTACACTCTATTAACATCCTCTTTCTCTTCTAACAAGTTCCCCAACCGGACGCAAAATCCAGAATCTCGTAAACACACAAGAAACTAGAATGTTGGATTTCACACCATCTGAACACCTGATCCAATATGGAACATGCAGCAGGACATCTACATAATAAGTGATCGGTGGTTTCATCCATTACGCCACAGTAGCTGCAATTCTTATCCACACTGCTAATTCCCCGTCTTTGAAGATTAACTGTTGTAGGGATCCGATCTAAGTTTGCACGCCAAACATGATACTTTCAAGGGGAACAACTTTATTCCAATGGAAAGGACCCAAGATGGTAGAGGAGATTGAATTATTGATCGTCTGCCTTATGCTCACCACCGTGTATCGTCCTCTATTAGCCAAATCAGACACCCAAGTAGCCTCCCTTGAGTTTACACCTCTTTTTACGACAGCATTAAAATGAATATTGTGCTTGACCAGATCGAGTTTTATCTTAGCAATAGAGCACCAGACACCTGACCTCGATTTACTAGCAAGAAAGTCGTCTTGTTTGTTGTCAAGCCTGTGTTGAATGCTTTTAAGGAGCCAACATCAAGACCTCCCTTAGGCAGTGTTGAATGCTTTTAAGGAGCCAACATCAAGACCTCCCTTCTCCTTTGCAGCCGTTACCTTGTCCCAGCCCACCCAACAGATTTTCCTTAAGTTCTTTGAGCCCCCCATAAGAACCGTCTTCTAATCCTCTCCAATTCATTAAGAATTGCACCTGGAGCTACAAAAAGAGAAAAATAATATGAAGGTAAGAGTGAAAGCACCGACTTGATAAGAGTAAGGGGCTGTTTGTTTTTTGTGTGAAGATCTGCGCAACCACTTTTGTCTGCGCCGCGCAGACAACGCGCAGACATATGCCCTCGCAGATTGTTTGTTTTTTGGAAGTGCGCAGATCAGAAAACGTCTGCGCGAGGTCTTCCTGGCGCAGACATTGGTCACTGTCTTCATAGGTCTTCAGACCTCATTTTAACCTAAACAAAAAAAAAAAAAAAAAAAAAACATGGCCACCGTGCAGTTTTTTTTTTCTTTCATTTTTTGTTAAAAATACATTTTTAATGTTTATAACATGAAATTAAGTTTAAAAATTCAATTTATTTTAACGGCCCGCAGACGTTAAAAACAAACAGTCTTCTTATTGCAGATTGCAGACATTTGGTCCACCTCTTCTGCCGCAGAGGCTTGCAGATGTGGTCCGCAGACTGCAGACATTTTGATTTCAAAAAAACAAACAGCACCTAAGTCTCCCTACAAAAGACAGGTTTCTAGCTTTCCAATCTGATAAATTTGCATTGAATATGTCTATGATCGGACTCCAATGTTTCTTTAACTTCATGTTAGCAACCACCGGCACCCCTAAGTATGTAAATAGGAGGGTAGATGGCTCACACCCAAGAAGACATGCCCACCTATTTACTTGTAGTTGCGATGCACCAAATGTGATTTTAAAATGCTATTCAGCTTTCTTTCTTTTTTTTAGTAATGGGTTTGCTATATTCCTTGGGAGGTTCATAAGAAAATGCATTAACCCTAGAAATACTAAAAAAAACATGTAGAACGAACAAAAACCATATAAATCACTACAAGAAAAAAGGTAATTAGCAGCGACAAAAGTCGATGCTAAAAAGTAAAAAAGTCGTTGGTAAAAGTGATATCGACAATACATTGTCATTAAAAAGTTGCCACTATTGCTATATCGCTATTGTTAGAATATCATCGATAAAGACAATTGTACCCGCTAATGCTATTGTCACTAGTAATACTTCTTATCGTCGTTAATGCTCTTTTCGCCGGTAATACTTTTTGTCGCCAGTAAAAGTATCGCCGGTAATAATATTTTTTTTTTTTTTTTCAATCAATGATTTTGGGTATAAAAAAACCGATATATAACGACATTAAATGCAGAAAAAAAAATTACATAATAACATCCTATTTTTTTTAGAAACGGCAAATGATTCAACGGAAGCCTACTCGCAATATTTCAACGAGCACCCCGAGTTCGAGCTCCGCAAAGCAAGCAAACCCAGCCCCCAAGGGGATTTCCAGGGAAAATTCCCCACGTGTGCCCGTGTGAGGCATGGGTAGAATTACGCTATTGCAACGATCCAAGAAGGAATCGAACCCACGACCTGCAGCCCACATGCCAAATACTTGTATTAATTTCAGAGAGAATTATTGTCGCGTCATTTATTTGACATTTAGCAGCGACACGGTTAGGTCTTTAGTGGCGACTTGTGACACCCTTATTGGTTTTGTTTGTTCCACAAATACCCCGGCCATTGAATTAGAAACACGATCGAACGGCTGGCGTTTAACAGAATGTGAAAACGCAAATTCGTTTTAGTGAGCATTACCAACGACATGCCCTTTTAGCAGCGACAAATTGATATGTCGCCGCTAAAGGTCCATGTCGTTGCTATTGGTGATGCCGGTAATGACTGTATTTTTTGTAGTGAATATATATATATATATATATATATATATATATATATATATATATATATATATATAAATTCAATAGAGAATCATAATTATTGGTTTTCCAAGGAACCAAATATATTTTTTTTAAGTTTTAGAACTTATTCTTTATCGGAAAAAAAAATATCTAAATTCATAACTTAACATTGTGAATGTTAAATATATTTTTCAGATTCACCGTGTGAATTTTTAAAGATTCACATTTGACGAAAAAAAATTTATCGAATTTAATATCATTGGAAAAATGATAAAAAGTTATAAATTTCTATATTTTAGTTTTTTTTTTTTTTTTTTTTGATAAAAACTAAGTTCTAAAAATTGAAAAACAAAAGATTGGTTTAATGGTTAATTAAGGTTTTCTATTTAACATCACAATATATATATATATATATATATATATATATATATATATATATATATATATATATAGAGAGAGAGAGAGAGAGAGAGAGAGAGAGATAAATGATCAATTGTAAGTGGTTAAAAGGTTGTCGATGCGAGAATAATTCTAGATCAATTATTCGATAATGGTAGATTAGTAAATTTACACTTAAATTAAATGGTCATCTCCTAAAAATGTAGGAATAATGATTTTAATTTTTAAAAAAACTAATAGGGTTTTACTTAATTGAATTTAAGAATAATTTTTTTTATCATTTTTCTTAAAATAAAACTCGTCCCGTTTTTTTTCTTCAAAAAAAATTAATACGAACTCCAATAACAAATGAATACAATTTTTATGGACAAATAAACATTTCATTTTTAACAAAATAGTACTGATCAAATAACAAATGTACAGATTTCTGTTCATAAAAAACTTTTTCACTAATTGAAAAATACAAATTGTATAAAATTCATTAATTATTTACAATATGAATATGTCTAAATCAGATATAGTATTTACAATATGAATATGTATAAAATTCAATAGTACTATATCCGGAAGAAAAAAAATTGGAAATTTTTTTTTCATCATTAAAATTGAATCACTGATCATAAAAACTGAATAATGGATCGTAAAAATGATTCATGCTTCAATTTTAATATTCCAAAAAAAAATCCAAGTTTTTTCTCTCCGATATAATATTATGCTTGATTTTATGATTTATATCTTCACGAGTCCTCACTTTAAATACAATCTCTCTCTCTCTCTCTCTCTCTCTCTCTCTCTCTCTCGTTTTCTATATATATATATATATATATATATATATATATATATATATATATATATATATATATATATATATATATATGCAATTAAATAAAGTTTTTGTTCAAAACAATTTTTAGAATACTATGTTTTTTGAATCAGTTATTTTTCGAATAATAAAATATATATAAGGATCATAAAATATTTGAAACAAAATACTTTTAGATCATAACAAATTAAACAGTATATACATATTGAAGCTTAATTTTTTTTAAATCCTAAGATAACTACGCGAAATGTAGTTTCCTTGCCGAACACGATTTTTGTTGAGGTCACAACATGAGAATAAATATTTAGAAACTATAAACATCCCTTTGCAAATCGACTTTGAGGAGGTTGAATTTGATTTTTTGGGAGTAATCAATTTTCGAGGCAGAGATCTGCGAAAAATAACCCTTTGGAGGAGAGAGCAATTGGAGATTAAAGATTTAAAGATTACATATCACATTTGGTTTGCAATAGATTAACAATGTCAAATTCGTCTGTTTTTGTGTGCTTAGTTTCTACCATAAATAGCTAATCATTAGGCTTTCGTTTAGTATAGATGAACCTTAAAGCTATGTGTTAGTTTCTAACTTATATTTGGATTTTATGAAGTTGGTTAATACATATGTTTGATTATCATTACCTAGCATGTTAATGTTTGCATCTTT